TGCTGCGAAGATACTTTGTGTCGCATTTGTCGTCGCCATGGCTGTTCCATGGATATAAATTCCCATCATCTGCACGGCCGACGCTTGTTTCCTTCACCCGTTGCAATTGTCGAGTTCTTATAATCACTATACCCGATCCATCTCCATGGGGCAGGCGAAACGATTCCCGCCGCGAGGGCTGCCTGGATCAAACTGAAATACTTTTCGAACTCGACAAACTTGGGAATGTTGCTGTTGAGTTGGGTGCAGATGACATTACCGAATACTTCATGCACGATTACCGACTAGGATGTTCGGTTATGTCCACAGCGCCAGTCGTTGGCCTAGATGATGGAAGCTTGGCCGGTTCGGACGACAGAGCAGCGACCAGCTCCAACTGGCATCAGCCGCCCGGCCTATAAAGGCTGGTCAGACTGTTCAACCCCCCGACGGGCTAGGAGGTAGTCAGACCCGAGTAAGAGCCAGTAAGTCGACGTTCACGATAACAGTGGATAACTATCTGAGCGAGATCCTGGCCGTAACTGGCTCAATCTTGTACCTAGCACTAGCAGGTAGCCTTCGAGAATCAGCCCGCCAAGTTCCAGAAGGGGCTTACCGCTGGCGAGGTCGCGGGCCACGGCCGCGGGTTGCTATCTTGGCTCCGAAAATATCAACCAACGCATTTCCGACTCGCTGCCTCGCTCCACGATTCTCTTGGCTTTGGTCCGCTGCACTTCAACATCGACATCGTCAGCGACATTTAATGCGAGGCCGAGAGCTAAGAGCCTCCAGCCAAGGCGCTGGAAATCATCTGAGCGCTCTGTCCAGCTGGCATCAACCCCTCTACCAAGTTGCTGACGAATATCAGAGCCCTGCCTTGTTTGAACCGCCAATCAGCCCGCCTGCAGGGTATTATAGACCACTTGGGGGCAGGTCAGAATGATAACCATGTCGACCTCGGGAAAGTCTGGACGGGTTCTGCCAGTGAAGGTCATCTGCGCATTTGACTCCCCGCCGTATAACCTTCCATGAAACCTGAAATTGAGAGTCGCAGCATTGTGTGCAACTGATTTTGCCTGATAGTAGTCGGATAACATATAGAAAAAAGTGGAATACAACACATTTCCCTAACGCGTCATTTTTGAATGTTACAAATGGCGGTGATAGGTGCTACAGAAAGAAAGAAAAAGCTGTTCATACGCTGTTCCTGGCTGAACCTGGCTGTTTTACTACTGAGGATCAAGATTTGTCCAGAGGGAAAAATACCGCCTAAAAGTGTAGGAAGGCTTGCCAAGACGGAAGAGTCGCTTGGGCTACCTTTCGCGGAAGCTGGAGATGTCTCAGCTTCGGAAACAGAGGCTTCTGCCTTCTGTCCAGCGTCTTGCTTCGCCAACAAGTCCCAGTCAACGTCCTCGCCCACCACGAAGTCGTCATCAAGCATCGTAACACCTGTAGAATGACGGGTCAGATTTGGTGCTTAACGGTGTCAGTGCACAGAAAAGAGATCTTACCTGTGATTTCCCACTCGTCCTTCTCGCCACCCATTCGCTGCGTATGAATCGCCCCTGTAGCAGAGACCGTTGAACTCGGCCGCATTACCCTGCCTCGGGTTCCGGTAGTAGTCGTCCTGGTCAAAGATGTTGACAGCGCAAATGACGGAAGAATATCCGGTGGGGTTGCGGAACGTGTAGCCGGTGTTTGTCATAAACTGCTTCCCGGTGGCGTCCCACCAGTTGCTGGCCTGGGAGCCGTCGTCAATGACACTAAAAGTGTAATTGCGTTTGAACGTCCAAGACTTATCGCCTGGTTGACCCTGGTCACCGTGTCAGACAAGTAGAAATGCAACGAGGGTGATATCAACTTACACTCCAGTTCACGGGGTCATAACCGACGGCAACGGGCTGGTTCTCTTCATAGCTGCTACAGCCCTGAGTAACGCCGTCGACTGTCTTTTAGGTGTACCAGACTAGTCGGTAGTTAGTACAATCCGACCCGCTGTGAAAAGAACGCTAAAATGATGAGAACATGAGACCACTTACAGTCAGTGTTAGACCCTTGACACCAGCTTATCCACAGGTCGTCACGGTCGTCAGGATCTGTCTCGGGGTCCATTTTGCCGACGTTCTGCGTCATGTCGTTCATCATTCCTAGGGAATCACATGCTTGTCAGAAGCTCGACCCTTGATACAGAAACACTGAGGACAACATACCAATGCATTGACCTCCCAGACCGTTTTGGACGCTAGTAACACATTACTGGCTCCGTTCGTTTGTTACCCTGAAGTTACCACCCTCCTCGCTCGATGCCCAAGGAAACTCGTCGCACTTGAGCTTCATCAACGAGCCCGAGTATCCGACAGCCGAGTGCATGAAGGCTGTCTCGTAAGGACACGAATCCAGGTCGCTGACCAGATTCGGGCATTGTTGTTTGCGACGTTGGTTGGCTCTTTCCTTGTGCTCGGGCAGGATGGCCGAGGCATGGGTCAAGGTGGTTGGCAGGGTCGTCGTCTTGTAACCCTGGCACAGAGGAATAGTTCCCCAAACTTGACCGGAAATATAGGTGAGTTAACGAGGGGGAAATGCGCCACAGTTAACTGCAGGTCTTGTTAGTTTTATCCGCAGCCAGGCGGGATTGAGCGACTTATTGACTGACATCGAAGTTCCGGTAGCTTCAGAGAAGGGCTGTCACCTGCAGGGCACTGAATCTGCTGCGTGAATTGGGGCAGCTGGGGGTCTGCAAAGGTTCATCAGCCAAAAGAGTCCATCTGTTGAACCGGATTTACATCCTCAGGTCCATGCTGTCATCATCTTGTCGTTTGAAAAGATAGACGGGGTCGAGAAGCGCAGTCTCGGCCAGGGTGTCGTTGGCGTAAGACTGCCCCGTGTCGTCTTCAGAGTCCGGTTGGTCTATCAGCCTGACCATGCGTTTCCTGTTTCCCTGTAGATCTATTGAGCCCGAGGACTTGTAGATGGTGTACTTCCTTGGGTCAGGTGCAGAGGCCAATCGATCTTTGAGCGCCCAATTCGCCCAGTCGAGAACGGTGGCCTTGACCGTGAACCCAAGTTGGTAGTAAAAGTACGAGCCGTAAGTGTAGTCAAAGCGACCGGTGGAGGTACTGATGGTGCCAGTCGCGATGAATTTCAAGATACCGGTCATGAAGGCCGTGATTTGGGCACCGATCAGAGTCCTGCCAGCAGTGTAGGAGCCGCCACCGATCTGGATACCGACATTGGCCTGTGTAAAAGATGTTAGGATGGCCGGAGCGAGTGTATTGGACAGATCAAACCTACCTCTGGTTGTATAATGACGTCAATTTCGGCCTTTACCTGGACGCCGGCTTCAAAGGTTGGTGTCACGTCCAGTCCATTGGGCTTCTTGGGCTTTTCAGTCAGGCCGAGGTTCAGAATTTCGTCGTACTTTTCAATGTCACTGCTATCCTGTGGCCAAAACACGCGTGACCTATCGAAGGTGACTCTCGCACCCGCTTCCGCCTCTCCGTGAATATTGACGTATCCGTTGATCTGCTTTGTTAGTCGCGAACCTCCGAGAGAACAAGGCAGCTTCGTCTAGCTACAGTAGGTGTTGATTGACTTACTTGGCCATATATATCGAGCGTGGAACCAATCGCAGCAATTCCCTTGACAGCCAGCCCGGGGTATCCAAGAGTGTCGACAATCTTCTTCTTGTTGGTAGTATAGCGGAGCTCTGCGTTACCAACCATCTTGAGACCGACGTAGGCCTCTGGCTGAATGCCGAAGAAGAACACGTCTGGTTTTGTGGGCGGAATGAACGTGCCGGAGTAGTAGTAGGCATATGTGGACTGCATGGTGATCTCGGCCTCCAGGTCCATGCGCAGGTTCGCCGACCAGGTCTTGCCAGGGCATCCCCACGACGCCTTGAACAAGTTGATCTTGTCGGCCAAGCCCATAGGAAGATCGCCGACTTCAGACCGCGTCACCGTGGTCAGCTTCGCTAGCCAGCGCGTCAAAGTTCCCCACCAGCGTTTGGCAATGTTACTTTCTCGCGACACAGGGCAGTTGTCCGGCTTCGGGTCGGCCGGCTCGGCCTCGAGGGGCACCGTGGTCAGAATTGTATCCCCTGAGCGTTTGCGAAGACGCTTCTCCAATTCTTCGGCCTTGGCGACGCGGTCACGGAAGTGGCGCATCGTGAATCACTCGTTAGGGATGTTTCTCTTTGCGCGTCTCGCGGTATTTCCGTCTGCTTCCGAGTCTGTCAACTCAGACCAGTACCCCAGCAGATTAGTAAAGTCGACACGAATCTGGACGGGGCCGCGATCTTGACGAGCGAGATGAAAGTTGTAGTCGACCTTGACTTCGTAGACGGGTTTATCATGAATCCCGTCCAAAGAACGATGCTGGAGATGATGCTTGGGCAACTGGTAGTCGTTGCCTACGGGCATCATAGAGATGACGCGCGCAAATGGTCCTTCGCCGACATGGTCTGGCAGACGAATGATAGTATCCTCGGCGCGGCCATTCCAGACGGCCTCGCGCTCGTCGGCTCCGGGATGAAAGTTGCAGTAAACTTGGAAGGCCTCTTCCACCTGCTCAAAAACCCGCTCAAGTACCGTCTGGTTCTTGGTCAAGGTGTCTCGCTTTACACGGGGGACCGAGACTGTGCGCCGGACGACTATGTAAGACTTCTGGAAGTTGTCATCTATGGCCTCTTCTTCGCCGTTGAGCATCATAAGTCCGTAAGCGTCCGAGCCGTCAGGAACAGTCCCATCAGCACGAATAGGGTCTCGGTCGTTGCTTTCGTATTGGGTGTCGTACTGCCAAATTGCTTTGTCGGTGTCAGGGTGGTTGAAACTCAGCTCGTACAGTCGATCAGGGTCGACAGGCCAGTCTTTATATCAAGTAGACGGCGGGTCGCAACAGAAACCGAACAACGGATCGTAATTTGGCGGTAAGGATACACCATCACACGACATCTCGAAACGACCACCACTGTAGGCGTTCGCAAGAGGGGGGTTGAGGCCATCTGCAATTTCCACCTGTGTCTACTTGCAAGGTTGGGGCAGACAGTAAAGTTCTGGATTGCCGTACTCTAAATCAGAAGAGGATTGCGGGTTGTTGGCCCAGTTGCAGTTGCTGTAGCTGCGACCTTTGGGACAGCACAATGCGCTCTTGAAAGGCTCCATCAAAGGACTACCCTTCTTTCCTGAAACGGGTGACACATACTCCTCTCGACAGAGACCGACACCTTCTGGCTTGTTGTAGCGGTACGTCTGGTAGTCGTAGCCGTCGGGGCACTCAGGGTTCTGGCTAGGGGCAAGAAGTCCTTGACAGCCGCTCCAGATACAATCGTCAATGACCTTGGTACTGCGGCAACACAAGGACCTCTTTCCAGAGTAACATTGCTCATTTCCTTTGTGCTCGATGGCTGTGTCGGTGTTGAGCTCGAACGTGCCCGGGCCGCATTTTCCGCTGCACCCAAACACGTTACGCTCTGGTTCGCCGTTCCATTCACAGTCTTGGGGCATCGAGCTTTTCGGACAGCAGATATGGCGGTACCATCCCTTATTGCATGTTCCACCTGAAAGGGGCATGGGGTGTCTTTGCAAGGGGTTGTGGGCGGTCTCGACGGACGTGGTCCCAGCAGGGCATACTTGACCAGCTCCACGCTCGCCCGAAGCTCCGTCGGTACACTTCTCCGTGACGAAACAGTCTTGACCAGTAAACTGGCCAAAAAGATCGGATAGCCGGTCGGCGGAGTCATGATCGAGACCTTCAACCTGCAGGTACGAATAGTCTCCAAATAGCTCGCCCATGGCGGTGAAGTTGGACGCGTCTTGATCAATGGCTCAGATCATGGGACCGCTGAGACATCTGCTGGAAAGACGTTCGAGCTTGGCCTTGAAGGAAACAGCATTGTCGTACGACACCCACTGGCTTCCTTCGAACACGTTGTACAGGACCGTTCTGTCTGGGTCGTAAAATGTCTGAACATCGAGGCTGCTGTTACAACTGGCAATCTCCTGGTAGGTCAAGACGCCAGCCGCAACAGAGCAGGAGCCAGGCATGCCTCCAGTTCTGAAGCGACAGACACCGTCAGGTCGGAAGCAACTGGGGTCCGACATCGTGAAGGATCGGCCGTAAAAGCCAAACCCCATGACGACATTCTCAGGGTGAATGCCGTTGCGCCAGAGCAGGCCGAGGTCGTTTTCGATCATGTCCCAGTCTGTGTGGCCTCTGAGGTAGGGACCAGTCCACTCATTATCTTCATCCCACATGCCGAGAATGTCCTACGACATGAGATTGAAATATTCGACTTGCCGCTGGAGATTTTCAAGATTGAACCCTCGAAGATACCAGTAGCTGCTGGGGATTGCGATTGATATTTCCCATCCGGAGCCTTCGTCTTCGAAGGCATCTCGCAATTCTGCTAGCAGTTGCACATAAGAGTTGACATCTTGGAGACGACCATCTCGGTCGAGAGCACCAGGGTACTCCCAGTCGATGTCGACGCCGTCCAAGCCATAGTTCTGGTAACATTGTTAGCTGAAAGTATTTGAGTAGTTCTACTACTTCTCCACAACTTACCCGCAGATAATTGACCACAGACCGGATAAATGTTCTTCGGCCATCGTAACTCGATGCCATGTCTGAGAGGTAGGTTGATGTCGGAGGGTTGTTGAACGCCCATCCTCCGATAGCGATGTTGATCCGCAAGTTGGGATACTTGACCTTTCTGAGGACAAGCCGTCGTACCCACTCAGAATGCTCGTCTATCAATTTGTAATCGCTTCCAAAGTTGACGAATGCGAGATTCAGATGCGTCAGGGGTGCCAGTGGTAGATCCTTGGGCTCCCTGACACCACAATCTCTTCTTTGGGTGAATAACTCATAGTAAGCAATGCGTCTCTCGTATGTCAAGGGGTCAAAATTAATGGGACACGTTTGTAGTCTACCCACCGCCGTAAGTATTATTTCTTGAGATGTTCTTCTGTAGGCCTGCGCTGGGCGAGTAGTACTTATGTAGGACTGCCGCATCTAGAGTTCGGCTGGCAGCCGTCATTGCAGAAATCCTCGGCAGTGAGGCGAAATCCATGTTTGCTTCACAATCATCACGTTAGCTCGGATCCCGGAGCCAGAAATAGAGGGTGGACAAACCTGCAACAAACGCTGATCGGGCAGTCAAAGATGTCTTCAAGGGCGTACTGCCTATACTCTGCCGTTGCGTTACAGTTGGGCTTGCAGCCCTTGGAGCAGTCGTTGTCACCAAAGCCGCATACATGGAAAAAGCCCACAGCATCCTACCCTGCATGGATTGGAGTCGTCACAGAGAGCACTCAGCTGAGCAGTAACGTGGAAGAAATGAGGGGCCCAATTGAGCCGCGGAAGGAAGTCCTCGTGATTGAGAGCGAAGGCAAAGACTGCCAAAGATCAAAAAAGAACTTATCAGCAAGACCAAGATGACCCTTAGAAACAGAGAAGGCTTCGCATATACCAAAGGGTGAGACATGATTATTATCAAATTGGAACAGCCATTTCAGGTCTTCTGTTCTCAGATCAGGAATGCAAGTATGCCCAGGGGTGTCATGGTTCTACGTGCCGGGTGAGGAAAGTCCTCCGTACAACTCATCTGCACCATCCAGACTGGAACAACGGTCCGGTGATCCATTCCACGTGAATTCTGTCAGTCTGCAGCCAAGAAGAACGCCCTGCAGAGGGTGGATTAAGCTTCGCGGCGTAATTACATGAGCAGGATTCAATGCCAGGGATCCTACCCCGATAAGGTGATATTTGAATAGCAGTGTCCAGGGTCAAGTACGGATTACAGCAAGACTCCAAGTCGGACGGAACTTCCAACAAGGCCCCACGGCCGCCGGCAGGCATCACATGCAGGCCAAGAGAGCAAGCGCCAACAAAAGGCTTAGCGCAGGGTCGCGCTTACGAAAAACCATTTTACATGCATCGCTGTGACTCATTCTTCTCTCTCTTGTCATTATCCCGTGCTTTCTTCCGCCAAAAGAAAAGCGACTAATTAGAACTCGGCAAGTGGAAATCATCCAACTCCATATGAGCGGTGTCTCCTCGCCCCCATGGGGCATCTTCCCAGCCGAGCAGTATCTCATCGTAGGTCGACCATTGCCGCCAAATACGGCGCAGGCTAACATGGTTGCAGCGCAACTGGAACCCTTCCTCAAACCTTTCACCAAATGACCAGATCTGCGAGCTTATCAGGTGTTTCATGTCGATGGACGAGATTCCAGCCGAGTGGCAAGCAAGCAGGAACGGCACCATCAGCCGCGTCCCCACGACCGAAGAGGTGTGCGAAATTCTTCAGCCTTGGCGGCCGGACAAGATCCGGAAGATTGCGGACCAGCTTCTTCACGAAACCTGCGATAACTTGGTCGTCCTCCGGACGTGCTACGACAGCGAGGGCGGCGACGAGAAAATGCAACAGCTGATCACGCAGGAGGAAGATGCCGACGGCATAGGCTTTCTTCACGAAGAGCTTTGGTGGCGTTATCTCGACGACCGAGAGCTTTTCGACTTTGGCGATGATTGGAGCAGGGTCTTTGATGTGCTCCCGGAGCTCGTCGGCCACTCCGGACGACGGAGAAGCATTGACCCCGCAAAGCTGACCGAGGCCCGCGCATCGGAGAACCCCGAGGATGATATACAGTACTTGGCACTGTCTGATCGCTTGCTTCTAATTGCCTCTAGAGACGTTCTCGAGTCGGAAGACGAGGCAGAGTACGAGGTGGTGTTCCTCGACGGATATGGAAACCCGGTCCGATACTCCAGTGTTGGACCGGATGACATGATGTACCTGCGCATGGCTCCCCAACGGGGAATGCAGCTGTCTCAATGGTGGGCAGATGGCGATGTTGCCGAGCCATACGAGGCCGACGGCGAGATGGGCCGAGTGCTTTATCGAGCTGCCGAGAGTTAGTCGACCTTCCTGGCCAGATGAGACCACTTTAGATAGCTTCGTACGGAAATTTGATCAGCATGTACGTCTGTAACATGCATTTGCCATGCTTGAACACACCGGTCTGCTGCCTACCTTGGCGCTTCTGCTGCTACTGCAACACTGGAAGTGTAAGGATCTTGTGGTTCATTTCAACCTTGTCTGGTAAGGGAAGCCTGGGACGGGTTGGATGCACGTTGGTCTAACGCTCATGTGTGTCCCCTCCAGATGCACTTAGCAGGCAAATGAGCAATATGAACAGAAACATTCAAGCCCTTGCCTATGGAACTTTGCAGACTTCGAACCAACAACCCCCTGTAGCGTCCATAAAACTTCAAAATGGATCTTCGGTGCCCCTCCCCCGCCAATGTCACCCCGGAATGTCTCTCGCTATATACGAATCGCTTTCCAATCCCAATCAGAACCATCTCCCTGCAACCCTAGCCGCCGGCGTTACGGTGGGGATCAGCCGTTCGTCGTAACCCACACACACGCACACGCCGAGCTGCAGGTTGCGACAGTCCGATCCCACGTCAGGTTTCCACTTGTAAGTTATCCAGGCTGATGCGGTATTCACTGGCAACATCGGCACAGAACTGGCCGCTGGCAACCTTGTCAAAGTTGCTGCATCCGGGGGTGAGATTTGGTTGATGCGGGGTCGGGGTGACGACGGGGTCCGGCGCTGGCTGGAGGGTGTACTGACTCCTGTCCGGCGTGCAGACGGCGGGAGCGCGGGTGAGGGGTGTTGGAGACGGCATGCCCTCACTATAGTGACAGTATGTGTTCATCAAGTTCAGACACGCTGCCGGGAAGGCGTCCGCGTCGTAGCGGCGTCCGCGTCGTAGCCTTGGGCCTAGTCCTCCTCGGTGATCCAGCAGTACTTTGTGTAGTCGCTGATGATTGACTCTTTGGACGAGTCTAAAGCCGTATGTGTTTCTGCAGGGGGTGTATATGATGGATAGAAAAGAGTTGTTGTGCCCAAGGGCCCCCCTTCATACGCTGTCTCAACGGAGGCCATTTAGAAAGATGTGAACAGGGGCGAAGAACTGCGATATCATCAGTGAAAAGGTCATCAGAACAGTCGACTTCCTAGTCCTCATACAGAGTCCATGAACGTCTTGTGGTCGATTCTGTGGTCGTGGGAAATTCGAATGGACCCGGCGCTCTGCAAAGCGAATTGTGTAAGCTCCCACATATAGTTACGAGGCAGATACAGGCCGGGGTGAGGGTGCAGCTTACTCGACGCAGATGCTTCTTCCAGCAAGCGCATTAAGATTGGGAGTGATGTTGCTGTCGCACTTTGTCTTCAAGGTCCTGAGTTGGGGAATCGCACAAAGTTAGTCCTCGTCATTGAGATATTCGGGTTGACTCACGGGTTCCAAGAGGTGACCTGGACTACAGTAAAGCCTTTGCCGCTGGTTATGTCCTCGCAAGTCTGCCCTCTTTGGATATGTGCGATGGTGCAAGTGTCCTGAATGCACAGCTTCATGCCGACCGCCAACTCTCGACAGGAGTAATCCATGTAGCTGTTGGTAATCATTCGGTCTGTAGCCACGCTGTTTGCTCGAGATATCGACTCGCAAGTGTCGCCCTCCTGAGCCGTGATAGTCGTCCCACGGCAAGTCGGAGTCGAGGACGGCGGCGCTGAGCTTCCGCCGGTGGTCGTGGCCGGCGGTGGCGGTGGTGTGTAGCTGTAGGTTTAGCTATTGGCTGGTGCTGAGCATGACCATAGCAACTCTTGGAAGTCTTCTTCGTCTACATGTGCCCGGCCATAGTCGGTGCTAACCATAGTGGTAGCAAATTTGAGACCGCAATCCGAACAGAGCTCCTTCCCGCCATCGTAGAGCTCTGGAAGACAGACGCCTGACCTATCATGACTGTGAGAGTCCAGCAGATTTCGCAGTCGGTCACGATTTTGACTTACTCGTCTTGAATGCAGAGTAGACTCTTCGCCCAGAGCAGCCCCTCTGCTATATCCTGACCGGAAGCTGTCATGGTGCTATTTTCCCACAGCTTGTATTGCGTATGCCCGCATCCAGATGTCACGCTACCCGTGAACGGGCGCAGCGAGTCTCGGCAGGCGGAGTTGCAAAAGACATCAGCCGCTTCGCCTACGACGACTTCTCCGTTCGCAGCGCTGTTAACCGTGACCAAGAAGTCGCAGGTCATGTTGGTGCTCAGCACTGCACGACATCTGGCTGGCACGTCAGTCGGAATTTGACCGGTCGTCTTCCAAAGTTGATTTCCAGAGACGGAGGCAGCGGCAAAGAGCCTGGGTGACAGTGCTTTGAGTCCAAATATGATGGGTCGCTTGTTACTTACAAAGAAAGTGCAAAGGAAATTCGGACGTAGGCCTCGAAATCAGACTTAACAAGAACCGTGAATGATGGTTTGATTAGATGTATTCGCGCCTGCTGTGCAAGGCTTCGCTGAATAAGTTCCTACCAGTGACACGCCTCGGCAGAAATGACTGGATACTGCTCAATGCCACCTTCAAATGGCGTTTGGTGTGTGCATCACCTACAACATCATCAGCATGTTGGCCGGCTTGTTACATTGCATGATGGTGTGTAAGTAATCTAATCTTGAAATTCTGCAAGGCACAGCCCGTCAGATGCGCCAAGGAGGCAACGAAGAATTCCGCCGTCCTAGCTGATGCATGAACCGATCTTTGCGGTGGAAATGAATACAACGGTAAAATACTGGCTTCGACTCACAGCCAGCCACATGATTGGGCCAGCCAAGCTCCTCTGCTACTGGACAGGGATTGTTCCTGATTCTTCATTAGCCTCCCTGTACTCTGTACCTGCATATAAGATAATATACTACTGCAAAAGACAGGCACATAGATCAGCGGACAACCAACATTATGAGTTCGATATTGTGGACGCAGCATACAGTTGGTATGACTATTGGCTTGGCTCGACCTCCCAACTTCCTTGAGGCACGAACGAGGCGTTGAGGAGAAAGAAATGTATTCTTTGTTGCAGGAAACAGCGTTGCGTTGGGCAAGTGCCAATCTCCTGTTCCTTCCGGGCAACTCTCGTGGCCTCGCAATAATAATAGAAGGTAACTCGACGCCCAAAGGCAGGGCGAACATGCCGTGCATCCTACGCCAGATCAAAACCCAC